TTGTAAATATATCCTTATATATTTTATAATGAAATGTAACTGATATATATATATATATATATATAATTTTATAAATATTTTTAATTTTTATAAATTATTTCCTTTTCTTTCCTCTCTTTTCCTTCTATATCCAGAGGGAAGTTTTGAAAGGAAAACAACATTATTTTTCTTTCATTTTTTAAAAAACTTGAAAAGACAGAGTTTTTATTTCCCTCATACTTTCCTAATCTTTTTTTTTCATAATGTTTTTGCTGTGAAGATTTAGTTTTTTTTCCACCTTCACAGCGTTTTGTTGTGAAGTTTCAAGTACAAAAAAATGGTATTAGGGGTCTCGTGTAAACGGGTCGGTCTCACATGAACTTAACTCTCTCTCTCTCTCTCTCTCTCTATATATATATATATATATATTCATGATTTACTTATGATTTTGCATATATTATTATATGATATACATATCTATAAGGGTCGATGTTTGTGTGCTCATAATAGTTCTACCTATAGAAAGGATCGTTGAAGAGCCGATTAAAATGCTACTCAAAGCTATTTATGATCTGTATGATATATAAAATTATATATATATATAGGGGCTTGTTCAAACGAGAAAGTAAATGTTTTATAAAAAAGCGAGAAGTTTCAGTATCATATACGATTACACGCATAATGCACAAGTTTTAATCATATGTGATTAAACACACGTTACTTTGACAATACATAAATGTTTAATCATATATAAATAAACAAACTCAAATAAGTGTGATCGTATATGATGTTAAAACTTTTCGCATTCTCACAAAAATATTTAACTTATGTGTATAATATCTATAAGTTATACTTGATTTAGTAAAATGTAATTTACATGTTTTTCACATTATAGGGTGATTTTATTATTAATTATGATTATGATATAATTTTAAAAAATACATAAAACAAATTTAAAGAATTTTGTTTTGATCATATTTCATTATGTAATTCCAATTCATAGCTACATTTTGCATAAGCTAAACATACAGATTTCAATTCATTTGAAAAATTACATTAATTCTATTTCATGTCAATCAAAAACTTAGTCAAATTTGATAATATTTCATTCAAGTTCTTTTTAGATTCAATTTTTTTTGACAAATTCCATTGATTGTAAAAACATTATGTGAAGCAAAACATCCCGTAAGAGTTACAAAGATGACAACATGACATTCCACGGTTCTTACCTATTTACCCTGCATGCTGATCAACATCCTGTTGTAATATCCAGATTCGATAACTCTAGAAAATCATTCACCATTGAGTAACCCTACATATAATGGCAGAAAACGAGCAAACCGCAAAATTCATTGGAGGTTGCCGAAGGTCGGCTTCCTTTTGCAAAATGTTTCATTTTTGACAGGTTTTGACTTTGAAATAATTTATGTTTTGGGAAATTTTCTTTACAGATGTATATCATTTTGCTTTTATTAGAATGTTTATAAGTCAATTGTGTGTAGTTGCATTTATTCATTTCTAAAGAGTCATTTGGAAATTGCATATTGATCGACACTTTGACACATTTTCAAGGATGAAATACGAATGCTTGTTTTACAATTCGTTTGTATTCAACATGCATCTTCAACTAAAAATTTGATGCATCACATCACCTTACATTGTTGTTAGTACATTGACTTGGTAGATTTTTAAACGCAAGTTAATTCTTTATTTTAGATTCTACATATCCATTCATCACCATTGGCCAGGTACTTTGAGGACTTTCTTGTCAACTCTGATGGAGGACGACGATTGTAAGACAATTATGAACAAGTCTACTTCAAAAACCAGACAACCCTATAAAGTTAGTAACTTCCGTAGGGGTTTTCATTCTCTAACCATGTATTCCATGATGCTGTTTGTTTGATCAATCTATGTACTTCATCTGTTGTTGACTACATGATGTATGAAATTGATCAATCTTGAAACTTAGCTCATGACTTGTATCTCAATGACATATTTTCTATATATAGAACACGATATAGATGTTTCGCCGTCTGCGTGTTCTTTCACAAGAAGACTACAGTTTCATCAATGAACACCCTTAATAGATTGCTAACATCTAACTAGGGTTACATACATGATTATCAAATCCACAAATTCTATCAGGTCTTGATTAATGCAAGGGCATGACCAAAACTAAGCACACTTATATGTATGTCTGAGATCAATAAAATACAATTAATGAACTTCAAACTTGCAATAGATCAGTATATCATTCGTACGTATTGGTGGATACTTATATTTAATCTTCATTAATTTAACTATTGATGATCGATATATATACACACACACATACATATTGAATTGACGTATTTTGATGTTATAATAAAAGTTTTTCATAAATATATCCGATTTTAAGGCATGCACTGTTGTTCAAGGCCTGTTGTGCATGTGACCACCATTCACCACCTTAACATTTCTTTGGGATAACGACCACTTAACCATTTTTTCCACCTCTATAGAAAAACAACTTCAAAAAATTGTTTTGACGAAGATAGTGTTAATTTTTAAAGCAATGTTGAAACTCGTACCTTATCGATATAATATGAAGTAACATAACGTTTGTTAGCCTATTGATTAATACGTCCTTATCAATGGGATTAGATGGAGTCGCTAGGTTGGGAAACACATATTCGACTTTGAAAATAAATGTATGATGAAACATGTGGATTCAACATGTGTCATACAAAATAACTATTAAATAAAAAAAAAATACAAAATAACTGATATACTCTCACACTACACCATCTAATACCGCAAACACCAAATGTACTTCATCTATTCTTAGATATCGTATCTAACCATAATATCTCACTTTATGAAATCATCACAACACTACGATTCCTACAGACCAACATTAGGGTTCTGTCATTTAGGAAAGTTGAATTCATGTTAACAAAACAATAGGTGCCGATACAATAAAAGAAAATAAAGCAAAAGACAAATAAGACGAACTTCCTTCTATCCACATCCACCACGAAAGTCCTCAACCGCTATTCCACAAATACTGAAAGTATAATATATACAAAATATGAAACCCTTATTCCTGAGATTAATAGAGACCAAGGAAATGTTCCTATCCTCTCATTCTCGTTGACTCAAGAAAACTTAAATTTCAGTTCCCATTACTTAAAATCTTGGTGATATCTTTTACCAGTTCTTTTTTGTACCATGATGGCAACAATGTTAATATTGCTGCAAATATCAGTATTTTATCTCGAATAGAAGTAATATGTGTTCATCAAAACAACCACGTTAAGTTCCAAATGATCAAATATTTCTATACGACAACGTACATGTTTACATCCACCGACTATCTTTCCACTGCCTTGTAATCCTTAATAAGTTGTGTAAAAACATCGGATGATAAATCTTGGAAAAATTATTTGGGTCAATTGCAATTTGCAAGTAGGGTAATTAAAATTAATCTGTTAGAAGGTAAGGGGGTAAAAGTGTAAAAAACATCTAAGTAAAAGGTTTAAAAGAGGTCAACAGAAAACTGTCATCTTATTGGCGGACTTAAAATTTTGAATTTTAGTACAATCCAAAACGTATCCTACTGTTCACACCTGAGTCCCTCGCTGGATTCCTGATATAGCATTCAATACCCGTTTTAGATTATTTTTAAATTTAATTAAAAATAGAAAATACTTAATTTTACTTCCATAAATGGAAAATATTTAAATAAGATTTCCAAATAAATTATATTAAAATTATATGAGTACTACACAATTACGTAATATTTATTTATTACGATAATTTTTATATGTAAAATTGCAAAGAAGGACATAAGTATTAGTTAGTGGATGGATAGACCCCGATATTAGATGAGTCTTAGTTAGTAGGAAGAGTTTGACAGTTGCTGAATGATTTTGTGCAGAATGATTAAGTAGTCATAATGATTAAGAGAGTCTTATGATATAGTGTAAAATAAAATACAATTATTTGGTAATTGTTTACGATGAAATTAGGTCATTTAATGGTTAAGAAAGACCCATGATACAAAACCATTTAGAGAGTTTTAGAATCATTAAGAGACAAACTTTGTTTTTGTCAAACAAGATTCACCTTTTAATGATTCAAAAGTTGCCTCTTAATAAAATTATTAAGAGGTAAACAAATAACCCCTTAGTAACAAAATAAACATTGTTTAATAAAAATTATATATGGATAAATCTTCGTGATCCCATTTTTTTGATGTAAAAAGTTGCAAAAGTTGGCAAAAAAAAAAGAGATTTATCAAAACTTTGGAAAATTGCAAAGAAGGGCCTCATATTCCTTTTCATATAAATAGCCCTTGAGAAGAACCAAACACGCACAGTTGTTCCTCAGAATTCCTCAAGTTCCCCCCCTCCCTGCTGATGTTCACATAAACAAGCCCTAATTCCCCCCTTTACTGTCTACATAGCCATGATCAACTCTCTATAGAATGCTTTTCTAGTTTCTTTTAGTGGAAAAGCAACTGCTTTTTCTGTTCTAGGTGAGAATCGTGCTAGATTTTTTAGGGGTTCTTGAGCTTTTGAAGAATTCCCTTGAAGAATTCAAGCTCTTCTTACTTAGTATTCCGTGGGGTTTGGTTCTTGTGTGCTTAGGTGAGTTGGTTAGGGCTTTTAATGGTATCAGGAGACTGAGGTCGAACATACTACTTTTTGTGCGAGGACAAGTGTAAAGAGAGTGAGAGAAATTTAAAATGGTTACGACAGATGTTGAGCTTCAGCTAGCGCAACAACTCAGGGAAGCAGGGAAGCTGCTCTCCGATCCTCCGGCTTCCGATGACGACCTTCTCCATATTCTTGATGTAAGCCCTCAATTTTGAACTTTCTGCAAGTTTGTTCGTGTTAGTGATTTGTTCCTATTGCTTTTTTCGTAGAGGCTTGTTGGGTAGGTTGAAATTTAACTGTTCTTTTCAATATTTCATGTTGTTTGCTTACCACTTATACCACCAATTTGGTAGTACATGGTGAGTTGATATTAGATATTATCTTAATTTTGCATGATTATGCGGATTGTGTGTTCTAGGAACGTTTTCGTTGTAGGTCTTCCATAATCGTCACGGGACATTGCTACATTTGTGATTTTACCTTAATGCTACTTTGAAGAACGGAAGTACTATAATTTAGGCTAGAATTTTGAAAATAGTTGATTTCTCCTACTGCTCATAAGAGAGTTGCAGTACATAGCGGAAAAATCCCATATGAAATCTGCGGTTTCACCTCAGGGTAGTGGGGGTAGCAGTTGCTTATGATTGCCTTATTTATGATGGTCAACATGACTACATGAGGTTGTAATCTGCAGGGATGTTGAGAACACAATGTCTAATAACTAGTCTTTAAGTCATGACTGAACAAACTAGATGGAGACTTTCTCAAGTTCTAGAAAATGGTTAAACAATATCTGTTTGGTTCATTCTTCTACTCTGGTTGCAGAACCAGGACCAGGACAGGAGTGTGGGTAATCTAAGATACATTATCTATCAAATAGAACATGAATGTATTAAGATAAACAAACTCTATGTGGAAATAGATGGTATGAAATGTGTCTTATGGAATTGCATAATAACATCAATCTTGTAATTATGAAAACTAATAAGGCGGGTATGCGGTATTTGCAAGATCTTAGAGGAATTCAAAGGCCATGCATGCCTTACCATAGTTATCCCTAATGATGGATTTGTAATAGGAAGTTGTAAAATGAATACTCAATAGTTACTTGCAAATTCAAGCATGAAGAAGATAGATAATGTGGACAATGGTTAGGGTTTTTGGGAGGGATTTTTTTCATGTGGGAGGAAGAAACTGTTTACTCCGTTTCTCCTTTTGTTTTAGTTGCCAGTATGGTTTTCCCTTTAAATGCCCGCTACTTGGATTTATGTGTTGACCATCTATTAAGAAAGTTAAGATGCTTTCGTCTCCTATAACGACATAACCATTAGCTGGTAATCATAAAGCTTATCTATTTTCCTAACTAAAAAAAGATTGATAACCTACAATAAGCTAGTTGTATATCACAAATTTGCAATTGATGCATAAGAGTGAATGACAGAATCTTATTGGTGCTCAAAAGATATTTATGAAGATCGACACTTGTTATTAATAGTCATCAACCACACCCTTCTTAGGAAACACATGCAACTTTTACACATACCATCATTGATGAATTTCACGTGCTAAACAACGTACGCCGATAGTTTATTGTCAGTGCTTAATGAAATTTTAGACCTAGAATTTTGTTGGTCTAATTGGTTTTTTTGTTGGGTGCTACAGCAAACAGAGAAACTTCTATCAAAGGTGGATCAGTCACCTAATGCTATAATGCTAGCAGCACTCCATCCATCAATGAAGGCATTGGTTGAGGGAAGTCTCTTAAGACATTCAAATGTGGATGTGAAAATTGCAGTGGCTGCCTGCCTCAGTGAAATAACAAGAGTTACAGCGCCTGATGCCCCGTACAGTGATGAAGAAATGAAGGTACAACAGATCAATCGTTAGACTGTCTCATAATGTTCTTTTCTAACCACCATTCAGTAGCTTTAATGCTTTATCTTATTTATACCCACAGGATGTCTTCCGGTTGATTGTTTCTTCCTTGGAGAATTTATCGGACACCTCCAGCCGGTCTTATGAAAAGAAGTCCTCAATTCTCGAAACGCTATACAAAGTCAGATCATGTGTTATCTTGCTTGATCTTGAATGCAATGTGCTGATTGTTGAGATGTTTGAGCACTTCCTAAAATCAGTAAGGTATGTTTTTTATAGAGAGAGTTCTATAGATTTATTTCTTGCTGCTTCATTTTTTGTTTGATACGTGATGCACTAACGATATAGTATCCACTAAAGAAATCCTCAGATGCTCTTTTATTCATCAAGTATTCTAGATGCTCATTCTTGGTATGAACAATTAATGTTCTAGTGCGTTTTTGGTATCATGTGTGTTTTAGATCAGCGAGTTGATTTAGCCATCTTTTTGTTTCTCTTTCTGCTTGAGTTTAGATAGTCATGCTTTCTATGTTCCCTCATAAGGTAAATTGCATCTTTTTTCATTTTCAGGGACCATCATCTTGGTAGCATATTTACATGGATGATGAATATTATGGTCCTTGTTTTGGAAGAAAGCGAAGACATTTCAATTTATATGCTCAAACCACTATTGGCTAGCATTAAAAACAACACTGAGGTAAGAGGTTGATTGTAATTTGTAACTTGACTGATATTCACATGAATTACTTTTCTTGTTTTGTCATTTTTTTGTAACCGATTACTTTCCTTTATATATAGGGAGTTCTACCGGTAGCACGAAAATTGGGGGAAGCAGTTCTTCAGAAGTCTGCAGATAAGCTTAAGCCTTACCTGATTGAGACATTGAGAATTTTGGGTGATTCATTAGATAACTACAGTCAAGTGTTGGCTTCTATCTGCGAAGGGACGACTGATGTTGTTGAGCATAATGATGAGAATGCTTCAGTGCAGCGGCTGGTATAATTTCAAAAGCTATCTTATTCCATTCTGGTTGTCTTCTGCATGCTTGTCTTAAGGAACTAATAAACGTTCCATTATCCTTACGTCTTCCTTGCTTCTTGAATTAATTGTATTGATGGCATCATATTTTACTCTTTTATTTCAGACTAGTGATAATAAATTGGCGAAGGTATCTTCCAACGAGGCACCACAGGCATGTCATGCTATCTAGTGTTTCCCTTATTGTTTTCATTTTTTCGTTCTTTATAATTTCTTTTTCTATATTATGATTATATCTTCAAAAGTTTAATTAATTTTACTCACCAAGTATTATCTGTTCTAGACATGTTACTCCCCTTCCAATGTATTTAATATACTCTGTGTATGCCATGCTACAGGCTGATGAGAGCAAGCTTACAACAGCATCATCAGACAATGCAGCTCAGGTATGATATTTGCCATTTTTGATTATTTGTTATCGGTAGACTTGGTCCTTCTCTGACGAGAACATTTTGTATGTTCTGGATGCGACTAAATTATATTAACAAGTTGGAAAACGATTCTCATGTAGGCGGTTAGAGGGAATGCAGAAGGGACTTTTCTTGGAGAGGCTGATGCCACCTCCAACAGATCCTTGAAGTCAGTTACGGGCAATGGAATAATGATTACTGGAAATGAAGAAGGTACCGCTGATAAAGAGTCCTCAAAGAAGTTAGAGGAAGCCATCAATCATCCGGATTCTAATCTGACCAGCAAGGTAGACACTGATGCTTCAGTTACTGAGAAGCTGGCGATGGTAGGATCAAATTCAGCACAAACTTCCAACAGGAGAGGAAAGAAGTCTGATACCATATTGAAAGCAGCCAAACCTTCTGATTCTTCTCATGGTCATGGAAATGAAGCTGAGAAACTACCTAACAATCAAAGTAGTAGCAAGGACATTCGTAGTTCTCCTTGTAGAGAGTCTTCCTTAGGAGCGGTCATTCCTTCAGAAATTGAGAAAAAGACCGATAGTCCAGTTTCTGTTCCAAAACCAATAGAAAGTTATGTTGCAAATGCTCCATCCCAGAGTAGCAGCCTTCCAGATGAGAGCCATGTTAAGAAGGATGGGTTGTCAAAGAAGCAGGTATTACCTCAACAAGTGAAAGTGAGCCTTCCATATAAGAGGCGTAAGAAAGGTGGCCGGTCGAAGAAAAAGAGTTTGTGTCGAGATGATGCATCTTCAATGGATATTGTTTCGATGGAACCTGTTTTGGCGAAGGCACCAGAAGGGACGAGTGACTCAGATATGAAGTCACCAAAGCGCGGGCGAAAGAAGGCACCGGTTACAAAGGAGGATAAACATCCACCTAAGGTTGCCACATTGGAAGACGCAAAAGCTACTAGTGGTCCAGACATAGAACTTCTGGAAACATCAAGTAAGAAAGTGGATACAGTTGATTCAGAGTCAACGCCTGTAAAAAGGACTGTAAGAAGGCGGGGTAAGAAAGTGGGTGCCGGAGACTCAGTGGCAAAGAAGAATAAGTTGTCTGGTAAGAAAATTGATGATGGAGATTCAGAGGCAAAGAAACCCAAAGAGGCTGGTAAGAGCACGGATGCTGCGGATCCAGAGGGTGAACCTTCAAGACCATCCCTTATAAAAGAGGAAGGATGTGATTCTGATTCGAAACCACCAAGACAGTCTGCTAAAGATAGCCGGAAAAGGAAGATCATAACTAAGCCTAGTGGGAATACTGCAAATAAAGAGGAGGGAAGTGATTCAGACGACAAACTACTTAAGTTGTCTGCTAAAAAAGGTAACACAAGCGGTCCTGCCTTAGTCAAATCTTCATCAAAGAACAAATCTGGAAAGAAACGTGGACATGGTAAATGTGTTGAAGAGAAGGAGCAAGAAAAATCTTTGTCTGAAGATGATGTAAGATATTTACTAATCTCTTCCCCCCCTTTGTTGCACTTCTAGTACTGAGAATATCAACTAAAACTATTTACCTTTTCAATTCTAAGGGGATGGATGTTACTCTACAGTCTGCACTGAAAACAGCTACAGGGGAAGGCAACTTGGAAGAAGCCCTGACGACTACTGTAAAACGAAAACGCTCCAGTGGTAAAAAAGTAAATATTTCTAACTCCTTCCTCAGAGAATGACTTTTAGATATTTAAAAAAGGAATCAAAACTCGACTCTTGTCTTTCAGGTTGACTAGTTTTTGTCTTCATCACAAGCTTATTATATCAGAGGGTTGACTGTTCTAACTCATGCTTGAAAGTTGAAGCTATGTTCTTTTTTTTGGTTCATGTGTGCTATCTTTGGTACCCTTGTTTTTTTCTTAGTATTTTACTTTGGTATCTTTTTCCCATTTCTGTTTTGAGCTTGAAATATATTACTTTCTGTTTTTTACATGCATTTTTTGGCATTGACACTTCTGTTGCTATCCCATACTGATTGTGTGTATGTGGAAATGGGCAAGATTTAACTGATGTGCAAGCATGTGCTCTTGTGCCTGCAAGCATCATTTTCTTAAAAACAGTTTAAAATAAGTTCATTTTCTTTCCTAGCTGTTGTTGGAATATCAAAATGTAAGTCTATTTGAGGAAACAACTAATTGGCTTTGTAAAATTAGATTGTTTCTCAGAAGATAGTTAAAGAATCGATACCTCTGAATATGCCAGTATTTAACTGTTTACTTCTTATTATTGAGCTTATCTCCTTGGATCAACATCTAATGGGTGGGCTATTATTTCTTCACAGGTAATCGAGACTATTAAGTATGATGATAGCCTGGTTGGTCTGAAGGTTAAGGTTTGGTGGCCTGAAGATAAGACGTAAGTGCCTTGCTTACTTTTTAGTTCCTCAAGAAAAAGCATTCTTTAAGAATCTCTCCCATTTGTGGTTATATTATTCTTTTGGGAGTTGATTTTGGACTCCCACTCCCCCTTTGTGCATGATATCAGTACCCAGAAACTGCAACCTAGCCTATGTTAACAACACATCATTTTAAAGTTTATTTATAGATTGAGTTTGCCGATGTACATTGACGTATTCTTATTTTCATGTAATGTTGCTGATATTTACATCATTGCTTGCAGGTTTTATGACGGTGTCATCGAATCCTATGATTCTAAAACATACAAGCATAAGGTCATTTTAATGCTTACTGTATAATAGTTTAAGTTAATGTTTGTCACTTATCACCACCAATGCATCTTTGTCCATGTGCTGGGAGTTTGCTCTGTAGTTTACAACTGATATGCTTTGATAAACAGGTCTTATATGAGGACAATGAAGAAGAAATATTAAATCTTAAAAAGGAGAAATGGGAAATTGTGCAAGGTATTTCTGCACACACAGAGGTGAGTTTTATGTTGATTGGTGACAAATTCTCTCTCTTTGATATTTTTATTGGTGCTGATGCAGTTTAATTGACAGGAGAAAGCTGCTGAAGTTCAAAGTACCGATGATCTTGCTGAAACGTAGGAGTTACTTTTATGTGCTTTCTTAATCAAATCTATCTTTGTCATATGATTATGTTGCAACTTCCCTGCTTATTGCCTTGATGTTTCGTGCTGCTTCTTAAACTTGATTGTGTCTTATAACTAACCGGCTGTGCTGCTCCAGACCCAAGAAGAAGAAATCAAGAATAGACTCGGGACCATCTGCTTCAGAAGAAAAGTTAAAAGTTTCAGCTAAACGGTGTGTTACCTTTTCTTGAACTTTATCCTAGTTCTGTATACCCATTACAATCATGGTTATAAAACTTGACGATGCTGATCTGTAAATAGAGCTGGTGGGGACTCTCTGTCTAGCAAATCAAGAGGTCGTGGTCGTCCTGCAAAATCTGCTGGTAGCTCCAAGGGTGAAGGCAAAGTCGATAGCAAAGCCAAGGACACCAGCATCAAGTCTAAGCCTCAGAAAAGTAGTGTTAAATCCGTCCAGGCAGCCGACTCCAAAGAAGCTGGAATATCAGAGGAGGATGATGTGGAGACACCCGAAATCATTAACAAGAACAAGCAAGGGAATCGGAAGATGGTCAACAAATGCATGGTCAAAACCCCTCAGACTGGCAAGAAAGTTGATGCTAATGACTCCAGCAAGCCAAAATCTATGGAAAAGGAGGACGAGGATGCTGAAGGAACTCCAGAAACTGCGAAGGAAAAGCCAGCTGAGATATTGAAGACTGCAACGAAGAGTCAAAGAAAGAGAAAGAAGAGGACTTAATGGCGGGTGGATAGATCTTCCTTTAGCGTAATATATTAGTTTTACTTATGATGGTAGATGTCATATGAGTAGGGTATTGGCTTACTTTTACCATTTGGTGGTAGGGTAAAGTATAGCCTGGTTTCTGCTATAAAAGAATCGAACTATGTACTTTCCAGATTTCTTTTAAAAACTTGTTGATTTGCAAATCCCTGGTGTTGGTTCTTGCAAATGTGGTGTTTACTAATTATTCAGATTTCAGAAAAAACATCCAGTTTTCAGCTCAATTTTGCAGGAAAGGAATGGGCCAATTTTCACTGGATTTGCAGGCAGACATGGCATTCAGCCATTCACATGTGAATGGCGTCCAGGTGAAGGTGAGTAATTTGTTGATTGATATATTCATTATGCAAATAGAGGTCTGGTGATAGATATGGAAATGGAATGCTGCTGCTAACATTACCAGATTTTGATTTATCATATGTTGGATATAACTTGAAACAAAACCACCAAGCTGGGGTAGAAGGTGGAGGTTAAAGGTTAGCTCTGCATCTTCATTTTGCTTGACATATCTTACAATTTGATGCCAATTGTTAATTAGAATCTATTTGATTTGTTTGATATATAACACATTTATAGTATGATACCATATAAAGTCTGTATCTAGTGTATTTTCAGCAAAACAGATTTTTTTGACATGATCATATCAATTTATTCACAAATATATCACAAAAAACAAAAGATCGGGTTTACTTTGCAAGATTTTGTTTTTAACAAATGGTAGTAGCTTAACCGATAAGACATTAGGATTGCTCCTCATTGATCACCAGGTCGGGAGTAGCCTAAGGTCTTGGTTTGGCGCCTTCTTGTAGGAGGTCTTGGGTTCAAGCCTACTTGCAGCAAATATGGAGATTTTGGTTCAAAACTAGGAATGGGGTCCATTGTTAAAAATATAAAAATACCAAAATACCCTTTTTTTAATTAGAATTGACATACACAAACTAACCATGTTTTTTTAGTGGAAGAGACAAAAACTAAGAGATTTTGCAAGCGTGAAACATAATATTGAAATAAATGAATTTGATTGGGTACCTTGTACATTTTTATGTTTGCCTATATATGCTTACATCATATATTATTGTGTTTGTGTTTATATATGAACATTCAAACATATATGTATAGATTGAATTGTTGAGGAAAACTAAAAAATAAAAAAATAGAAAACACTTTATAAGTAATTGACGTAATGGATGTGATTAAATGAGCGGTTACAATTTTTTTTAAATTAAAAAAATCTTGCCCTCCATTTTTTATTTAAAAGAAAATGAAAATCATACAAAATTCGAGCGAAATAAATTACACAAAAAAAATCATATTTTTTTGTTAATTTGATATATATATATATATATATATRTRTRTRTRTRTRTRKGKGKGGGGGGGKAAGTTCAAACGAGAAGACGATTGATTTACGAGAAGGAATATAAGTTACACAATCTATTAATTAAAAATTACTGTAAATAGAAAATGAAAAATAATTTTAGAAAGGGAAAATTGCACCAAAATGGAACCAACTTTCACCTGATTCCTATTTTGAGGAACCAACTTTCAAAATCGTCATTTTGGGGAACCAACTTTCATTTGATTTTTATTTTGGGGAACCAACTTTCACCTGATTCCTATTTTGGGGAACCAACTTTCAAAATCGTCATTTTGGGGAACCAACTTGGACCTGATTCCTATTTTAGGGAACCAACTTTCAAAATCGTCATTTTGGGAAACCAACTTGCACCTGATTCTTATTTTGGGGAACCAACTTTCAAAATCGTCATTTTGGGAAACCAACTTGCATCTGATTCCTATTTTGGGAAACCAACTTGCAAAATAATTATAGAAAATAACTAAAATTCATTTCTTTTCAAAAATTAACGCAATAAAATCTATTTTTCATTTCAAATCTCGTTTTTTTAAATTCAGATATCAAATTGAAGATTTTTCGAAAAAAATCCAAATTAACACGATAAAAATTGTTTTTTACTAATGCAATAAAAAATCAATTTAATAAAAAAAATTAATTGATGCAATAAAAAAAATATTAAATATCACATTCAAGATTTTTATATCTAACCAATTTGTGTCAATATTAAAGTTTAAATCAAATTTGGCAAATCCAACCAAAAGTTTGATAGAGACCYTTAAATTATCTGTTACCTGTTCAACAGATCAATCAGACCCTTAAATAAACAAAAAGTTCGATACAGACCCCTAAATGACGATTTTAAAAGTTGGTTCCYCAAAATAGAAATYAAGTGAAAGTTGGTTCCATTTTGGTGTAATTTTCCCATTTTTCTATAATTATTTTGCAAGTTGGTTTCCCAAAATCGGAATTAGGTGCAAGTTGGTTCCCCAAAATGACGATTTTGAAAGTTGGTTCCCCAAAATAGGAATCAGATGAAAGTTGGTTCCCCAAAATGACGATTTTGAAAGTTCGTTCCCCAAAATAGGAATCAGGTGAAAGTTGGTTCCCCAAAATGACGATTTTGAAAGTTCGTTCCCCAAAATAGGAATCAGATGAAAGTTGGTTCCCCAAAATGATGATTTTGAAAGTTCGTTCCCCAAAATAGGAATCATGTGAAAGTTGATTCCATTTTGGTGCAATTTTCCTTTTTAGAAAATTAGGATAACTAACATTCAAATTAGATAAATTCTTAAAAATCGCATTATATCTTTTAGATTTATTTATTTATTTAGTTTTAATTAATTAATAACTTTTTTTAATCAAATTTTAATAAAAAAAATTAGATGCACCTTTAATAAAATAACTTTACAAATTTTTTTTTCAAATATCTCATGTGATATCTACGATCAATTCATATGTGATAATTGTAGACATTTTTATTAATCATATATAATAATCGTAGATATTTTTGTTAATTATATGTGATTATTATAGATTTTTTTCTAATGTAAATATTATCACATGTGAAGATACGTCATTTATATTCAGACGCATATTATCATATGTGATATGTACAAAAATTCACATAGTGGATCATATACATCATATGTGGTATGTAATAGATCATATATTAAATGAAGTTTATCACATGTGATTTAAAACATGGATCAAAGGATTAGAAAAAAAAACAGTGAAAAAGATTACGAAATACTTGTAAATATTACATGTGATATTTGATGAAAAATTTGAATTTCTTTCAAAGTATATCTAGAAAAAGTTGTATAAAATTTTATAAAATAATTATGAATTTATTAAATTAAAAAAATAAATAAATCTAAAAGATATAACTAGATTTTTCCAATTCAAAATGATAATTATCATAATTTTTAAATTATTTTATGTTATTCTTTTAATTAGTCGTATTCGTACAAATTAGTTAACATATCACATGATTCTCGTGTATTTAATTAAATATGGTTTTTATAATTACTTACTATAAAATGCTATGTGAAATTTTATGGTATTTTCGAAGAGTTAGGGCAAAGGGGTAAGGTGAATAGTGGAGGGGCCTGTTTTGCCAATTTACAAGAGCTTTGAAATGGGACGCAACCCCCCTGTTTTCGGCAACTGCATTTAAGGCACGGTTGGTGCCGATGTAGCATCGTTTTGGACTTGATTAAAAGGCAGATGAATCTTCTTTGAGTTTCGAGAAGAACCCCTTTTGATTTGTGGAAATCGATAGAGAATTGCGAGGGAAATCGACCGAAACGTTGTCTAGGGTTCATCCAACGGGAAGTTCAATGATATTGAGGTAAATACTTAACCAAACTTGATGATTTTTTTTGTGATTGAATACGTTTTTTGAATTTGTTTCGAGTGGACTAAGTGTTAAAGTCAATTGGTGGTCGTGCGCCGTGGATTTCGAGCATAAACCATTGTCGCGATGGTTCACGGCGGTGGACAATGTAAAAAATCCGAAAATTGATCTAAACAAACGTTATCAAGTACTGGGATTAATGCCACGTCATAATACTAGTTTGTACTAAGGAAATTATGCAAAAGAAACGAAGAAAAACGACTAAAAATGGAGCCAATTTAGTCGAAATCACTGAAGAAAATCGAGAAAAGAGGGCTACTGGAGATTCAGGGTCAGAACCTGAGTCAGGAAACGGATCTGGAAACGGGGCAGGGACGACCCGCATATCAATTGAATTGGACGACCGGAGTCCCATACTGAGTCCCATCCGATCCGGTGGCTATTGGATTGGATTGTTCTTGGGCTATTTGTTTTAATTGTTGAATTTATGTTATTGGGCCTTAAGTTTTTTTATAATGAATTTTGCTGGACCGAACTTAAATATTTAATATTTTATCATTTATTTATTAATTTAATGGTAGAATAAGTATTAAAATAATAATTGATTTTCTAGGATAATTATCAATTATTTGAATGTTTGGGATACTATGATGATGAATTAATTGGTTCGAAATTGTTTTGTTATTCTTTTTCAGTATTTATTACGTAATTTGTTTATATAATATTATATTTTTCTAAATTGGATAAGTATGAATTTCGTATATGATAGTATCTAAGATGGTTTGATCAACGGTTGTGATGTTCTAAGTCTTATGACGTGATAGTTTATGCATTTTAAGTCGTGACAATATCATACGATAATTGTTACATTATTTTTATTTCCATGGCATTTAAATAGTGGATTATCAAAAATATCATCATTTATACAACATAATTAATTAATAATAAAATTTTGAATTATATAACATGATATTGCAAAATAAAAGGGTTTGGATTATTTACTTTATATATATATATATATATATATATAATATATTTCTTTTACAACCTTGTGCATTTGTACAACCTTTGCAATATAAGGTATATTTCTTTTACAACCTTGTGCATTTGTACAACCTTTGCAACCCAATTAATTGAGATATTTATAGAAATGATTGGAGTTCATTTATTATGATTTTAATATTTATGGAATATGAATATAGTTTATTAATTATGATTAATAGTTTATATTAGGAAACAATTAATTGATTAAAAATTGAATGGTTGAGATGAGGGT